AAAAAAAAAAAAAAAAAAACTTCTACCTATTCTGGAAGGCACTGCTTTTGCTCAGAAGTAGGGTATGAAAATGATATCAAATGATTCCCTTCTCCCACCCCCAGGGTCCATGTGTGGAAGCTTACCTCCAAGCCATGAGGGGAAATCTTTAGGTACTCGCTGACATCATTGCTATTGAGCATGGCTGTAATGCCATTCAAGTCCACTTTCTCATATGTCAGCTGTCTACCTTCTTTTAAAACTGCAAGAGAAAATGCGGTCATGTTTCCAAGGCAGGCTGCTATAGAAAACATCAAAAGCTAGAATCATCTCTGGCTGCCATCCTAGTCAAGGAGTGGAGGTGCTTGTAAATGGCAGAACAGGAGGGGAGACTTAAAACCTTAGCTGTGCTGCTATGTTGCCATCTGAAGACTAATCAAGCAAATGCTAGGAAAGGTACTGCTGGCTTTATGCTTCCTTTCCTTACAGATACTATTTTGCATGAAACATAATCCAAACTGCACTCTTTCAGAATTAGTCTTTAACAGGCACTTCTCTGGCTATGCACTGAGCCCACCATACTGGGGTAGGAGTCGGAGGTTACATGTCCAACTGTGTTTTAAAACAGTTGTTAAATATGGAAAAAGAAGTGAGAATATAGTAGTATAAGTTGAGCACCCATAATTTAAAATTTGAAGTCCAAAATGCTCCAAAATCTGGTATTTTTTGAGTGCTGACATGATGCTCAAAGGAAATATTCAACTTGATAAATGCAAATATTCCAAAATCTGAAAAAATTCAAAATCCAAAACATTTCTAGTCCTAAGCATTTGGAGGAGAAAAAGAGAAAAGTCAGGAACTCTCATGGTGTAGTAACACAATTTGGGTTTTGACAAGCAAAGTTGGGACAGGGAAAAGAGAAAAGAAAGGGAGTTCCAAGTGAGAAAAAAAGGTCCAGAGACAGGATTCATTCGGACCTGTTTATAAGATACTGAGGAGAGGCTCAGCACCTAGGGTGCCAGCCACATACACCGGGGCTGGTGGGTTCAAAGCTGGCCCAGGCCTGCCAAATGACGACGACAACTACAACCAAAAAAAAAAAAAAAAAATAGCCAGGTGTTGTGGCAGGCATCTATAGTCCCAGCTACTTGGGAGGTTGAGGCAAGAGACTCACTTAAGCCCAAGAGTTTGAGGTTACTGTGAGCTGTGATGCTGCAGTAGTCTACTGAGGGCGACATAGTGAGACTCTGTCTCAAAAAAAAAAAAAAAAGATACTGAGGAGATAGTTTGTATAGGAAAGAGCTGGTTAGATAGTAGACAGTGCCATATAACTAAGGGCCGTGATGCAGCAAGAAAGATGGTATGTATCAGTAAAGGTTTTGAACAGGAGAAGAATTCCACCTAATTCTTGTCTGTAGGGTCTCTGGGATACTTTTTTGATAGAATATATCCAACCTGCCAGTAAAGATCTTACAAAGACTTAGGCTTATTATTACAAAAGATCAATAAGATAGGCTTTTGGAAATGGAAATGGACATTTTAATAAAGAACAACTCCCACTTACAGAGATTGTCTAAGCTCCACTGGGCACAGAAACCAACTTGACGTTTCAGATAATCAGGATCATCAGCCCAGGACTCCAATGTGACAAGCCGGTCACTGATACTGGATTCAGATATAGTCAATTTATTTTCACCTGTTTGGAAAGATGTAATCCTTGAATTAACAATGAAAGAGTATGATGATTTGCTGGGCAGATCAGTGGTGGTAAGGAGTGAGAAGAAGGAATTAGAGATATTAAAGACTAGAATGGATTTCGATTAAAGGTTCTAGGGATGACACAGCTTTGACTATTTTCTCAAAAGTAACAATTTCATCACTAAATTTTTAGCAATAAACAGTGAGAAACTGGCCAGGCATGGTGGCTTACATCTGTAATCCTAGCACTTTGGAACACCAATAAGGGAGGATTGCTTGAGGCCAAGAGTTCTAGATCACCCTGAGCTCGAACCAGACTCCATTTTTACAAAATACAGAAAGATTTGCAGGGCATGGTGGTACACATCTGTAGTCCTAGCTACATGGGAGGTTAAGACAGGAAGATCATTTGCACCCAGGAGGAGTCTGACAATGGTCTACAATGACACCACTGCACTAGGGCCCAAGTGACAGAGCAAGACCCTGTTTCAAAAAAAAAAAAAAATTTAAAAAAAGTGAGTAATCATGGTTACCAAGTTTAGAGTCTTAGGGGAGAGAATCCTGCCTTTGTCCCTGTCACACTTCACTGGCCTTAAATTATCTACCCAGGCAAAAATAAGAGTGTATGCCTGTCTGATGGGGTTCAAAGTGTAGACTCTAGTAACTAAGAAAAACAAGATTTTTAACATCCAATACATTAATGTAAGACGTCACTATACCTACTTGTCTGTGCAAACTTTTCCAGTGCGATAAGTGCAAAAAGCATGACTGTGGGATGGGACTGTAACTTCTGAAAGACAATAAAAGATACAGAAAAAAATCATTCCCCTGCAGAGGAGGCAAGTTATCAATTTCATTTTCTTGTCCAATATGTGCTACATATTTTTTGGAGAAGAAAAGTTTTACTCATCAAGTCTCAGTTATTGATTTGGCTAATAAAGTTAGTAATGTGGAACTAAGACAGTCTACTACTCTTGTATTTTTTTCTTGAGGTCACTGGGTTAATTTATAGATTTGGAAATTCCAAAAGTATCTTGTAACTACACTATGTTATTTTACTCAGTAACATTTAAACTAGGGTTTTGGTACAGAATAATAGTGATTCTTACATTCATTTAAGCAAACCAAACAAACCTAGAACTGTGAGCTAAAAATGACCTTTGATTCGGAATCCCCAAAAAGACAATTCATCACTACCAAGCTCTAAAGTGATAAATAATGAAATTAGCAATTAATGGCTTAGTTTTTAAACTGTTCCCTGAAAGGAGTTCTACAAGTGCTGACGGCAGATGGGAGAGAACAGCAAGTGAGCTCTTTTTTTTTTTTTTTTTGAGACAGAGCCTCAAGCTGTCCCCCTGGGTAGAGTGCCATGGCATTACAGCTCACAGCAACCTCCAACTCCTGGGCTCAAGCGAGTCTCCTGCCTCCGCCTCCCAAGTAGCTGGGACCACAGGCGCCCGCCACAACGCCCGGCTATTTTTTGGTTGCAGCCGTCATTGTTGTTTGGCGGGTCCGGGCTGGGGATTCGAACCCGCCACCTTAGGTGTACGTGGCTGGCGCCTTAGCCGGTTGAGCTATAGGCGCTGAGCCAAGTGAGCTCTTTTAGTTACATTTAAGTTCATATCACATGAGTTTCCATTTAAGGAAAGGTCTATTTGTCTAACATCAAGTCTTCTCACAGCCATGCCTTCCCACAGCTGTATCACGAACCTCCAGAGGAGCTCTAGAACGTCAGAGGAGGTTCCCACTCACTTCCTCAGTGTCCACCAAAGTTCTGTAAAGATCATATAAGCCACTGCTCTCCCCTGTGCAAGCCTATTCAACCTCCTATTTCTTCCCATCCCCATTCTCAATTCCTTCTGCCTGGTTTTTCAGGCCCTGAACCCTCTCCACCTGGCTCATTACTTTGGTCCTCTTATCAAAGAAAACTGTCTTCTCTGATCAGACAATTCTGTCTCTGGGCTTCTGCCTTAGCCAAAACAAACAAACAAAAAACAACCATTTTTTTTCCTCCTCTGGGCACAGTCAAATCCTAACCTTATGGTCTGTCCCAGCTGAAGTTCCACCTTCATCAGAAGTCTCTTTTATGACTATCCCAGCCCTCATCAACCATACCACTTACCTCCTTCGTCATTTTGCCCTTGATAACATTCTGTCATCAAATAGAGGTTGGTTGTCTACTCTGAGTAATTTTGTTCCCTGAACTAACCAGTACAATTAATGAAGGCAAAGGATTGTCATACTACTTCTATATTCCCACAGTACTCACTTAGAGTGGTGTATTTTAAGCACATATCAAGTAGGTACTGAAAGTCTTTCAGATTGGAGTTTTAAAAAAGGAAAGTGTTCAATAGGCCTTACAAAAAGTAACTTTTAAAAATACAGAGCACTTGGCTGGGCGCAGTGGCTCATGCCTGTAATCCCAGCACTCTGGGAGACTGAGACAGGTGGATTGTTTGAGCTCAGGAATTCAAGACCAGCCAGAGCAAGAGAGACTCTGTCTCTAAAAACAGCTGGGCATTGTGGCGGGCGCCTATAGTCCCAGCTACTTAGGAGGCTGAGGCAAGAGAATCACTTGAGCCTAAGAGTCTGAGGTTGCTATAAGCTGTGATGTCACAGCACTCAATCCCAGCGTGACTGAGTGAGACTCTGTTTCAAAAAAAATACAGAGCACTCAAGCCTGCTATCTAGTGATATAAGAGATCTGAAAGCACAGCCTCAGCAAACCACAAGCTTCACAGACAATATATCATGCACTCCAGAGACAACAGTCTTAAGAGCAGTAGCAGAGAGAGGGTGGGTGGGGAGGATCAGAGATTTATATACACTGGGAATCTAACTTGATGGTCTCCTGGCTTTTAATAACACATAATTTTGTTTCCACTGTAGATGTCCCTATTATTATTTGGCAGACTTTAAGGACACACAAAAAAGCCAATCATAGCAACTATGTTAAGACTAAAATTTAAAACCAGACCAATTCAGCGGTTTTGCTTATAAGTTCCTATTCTACTCTCTCTTTTCTTTAAATATAGGAGGAAATAAATAAATACTCAGGAAACACATGCAAATAAAATTTACAGCTGATTTCATTCTCTGTGCCAGTGAAGTTGCCATTTTGAGAAAAATGCCCAATTCTATATAAAAATAACCAGCTTTGATGTCTCACTTACCAGACATTGTAGCAAATATTCCAGTATTCCTGGGCTAAGTAAACCTATGCTTGCAGGACCTAGACAAATACAACAAACACTTGATGTAATTAAAAGTGCCATGTTATTTTCTTTTTTGCCATATTATTTTTAATCACTAATAATCAAATTGATTTGACAGAACTCTTTACCTTCTACAAAGTACTCTGATGCACACTATCTTTTTTAAGCCTCCTGCTCTTAAGTAGGGAATAGCATCATCCCCATTTCACAGGGGAGCACCTGAGCCCACAGAGTGAAGTGACTAACTCTGGGGCACTCAGGCAACACAGGCAGAATCGGAATCAGTATCCATGGGTTCTGATTTCTTCTTTTTTTGGGACAGAGCCTCGAGCTATCCCCCTGGGTAGAGTGC